CTTTGTCTACTGGCAACACGGCCAAGGAGGAAGTGAACCAGTGATACGTTAAGTCATCCTGTCTAAGGGATTATTCCGCTAGGCTCTACTTTCTTATATGTGAAGCGTTTAACATGTTTTAATATTGATTTTACAGATCCTTCTGCTGAGGAGTTGAGGAAGCTAATGATGTTGCATGGAGGCCAATACCATGTGTATTATTCCAGATCCAAAACAACACACATTATTGCGACAAATCTTCCTAATGCCAAAATTAAAGAATTAAAGGGGGAAAAAGTAATTCGACCAGAATGGATTGTGGAAAGGTAACTTAATTTTTAATTAAATTAGTGAGTTTTAAAAATTGGAATACTTTTTGTTTCTATTATAAACACTTACCTAACTTGCATTACCTCCTAAGGGTGAAGAGTAATCAGTGTCTTAAACAGCAGTGCTGTGCTTCTTAAGCTCGCATGGTGATTCAGGTTGCCTGGGGGTTGATGTTAGCATTCTTGCAGCCTCAGCCACCAGGGATTGGGGTGATGACTCAGGTGAGCCGCAGGAAGCAGTGATGGGAGGGGCTGACTCAGCATGTTATTCATTCAGGAAATATTTGTTCACCTGTTACCCACAGGTAATGTCCTGTGTGCTTGGGAGACAGCAGTGAACAAAACAGAGGGCCCCCTCCACACCTCTTGGACCCTACACTGTATTAGGGGAAATAGATAATAAACAATGTATGAATAGATTTAAATCATATGTTAAAAAATACATGCTAAGGGGAAGAAAGAAGATGAGGGTACTGTGGACCTGGAGTACTAGGAGTAGGGAGCAGTTTGCAGTGTTATTAATGCCTGTTTTTCAATTATTATAGTTTCTTGGCTGTTGTTTTGAAGTTAATATGTTGTAAATCAGTGGTGGTCACTCATATTAACTTCCTGATATTAAATATGTCATATGGTATCTTGGTGATGAGCCAGAACTGAAGTGATTCATATATAACATATGTTTGCTAGACATACGAAAGTTGAAAGTGAAAGTATTAAAATCCTAATTTTCTGTATGGGTAGATTGTAATCAGTGTATGAGAGAATGGTTAGATTATAAAATGGAGTATTAATGAAGCAGACTTAGGAATTATTTTTTTAAGTCAACTGCCAGGCCTTTTTCCTTATCCTAAACGTCATTAATCCCGACACCTTCCATTAATCGGTCAGATTTGGAATTGCTCAGTTCCTTTGTGTAGCGGATGCATCAGCTTAGATTCACGAGAGGCGATGTATTGCAGTGGGAAGGCTGTCCCTGGGCTCTGGAGACACAGCTGGGTTCACATCCCAACTCAGCGGCTCCGTGTCCCTGTGACCTTGTGTCATGGGAGCGGTTGTGCAGCCCTGCTGGACCTTGTTTCCTCTTTTGTAAGAGAAGACTGGTCTCCCCGCTGCGGTTCTGCGAGAACTAGAAGTAATTGGTGCAGACTGCCTCGCACAGGGCCTCGCACCATGTAGAGGCATAGTACGTCTGAAGCTGCTGCTGCTGTTTTATTTGTATTCTGTAAACATTAGCAAATATTAGAAAATAAATTCCAGGAGATCAAAAGTGCATTTTGAAAAAAAGTGCATTTGGCTTTCTGGAAGCATTCTTCCAGATGAAGGATTTTTTAATCCTTGGGGATTAAGTTGAAGACCCATCCTACACATCTCAGCCATCCTCAGGTTGTGTTCGTGTGACCCAGCCACTGTCCATTCACTGTGTAGGGTTAGTGAACATGGATTTTAGCTGTGTCCCCATAGAAAAGGAATTGTGATGTTTTGGGTGTAAGAAGTTAGCGTCATTCTGGAGTCCCACTGTGTGTTGTCACTTCAGGACAATCCTTTCATCGTGTTAGGGCTGGGGTCTTGCTCTGGGGATGTTAGTTTGGATTTGGAGGGGATGGAGGAGATCCGTGGTTAATAGGAAAGTGGAGGTGAAGTCGCCCTTGCTGGGTGGGACTTGTGCTTAGAAGATGGTGGTTTTCATGACAGGTGCTTCCTTACACCTGCTCTTCTTGCCCTGAGTGCAGCCAGAGAGAGAGCGCGATAAGACGTGCACCGCGATAAGGCGGTGACGAGCTGTGAAATTCACCTTAATGATTTTATTTTAGTTTGAAGTCAGGCTTAATTATCTGTTTTAAAATAGCTGAAGTGAAAAAATAAAATAAAATAAAATAGCTGAAGTGACTTTGGACTCCTTGCTTTCTTTTATGTATGAGAAGATAATAAAGTTAACTGATTTTCCTAACAGTGACAGAATTACAGGATCCAGATTTTCTGACTCATATTTGGGTCTGCTCTTTGCCATTTAATTAAGTTGTTGTAGGTGAATTGGCCCGTGTGAAAATGGAGGAGTCTGGGCATATGCCTTAATGTGTGAAATGAATGCCCGGTGTCCGTGGTTTCACGAGGATAGATCCTTCAGGTTAAGTCGTGGTGCTGTTTCCTCTCACACTCTGATCCCGGTCTTGCCCATCTCGTCTCCTTCTCAGCGGTGTTTTAATGAGATTTTTTTTATACTTAAAATGTTAAACACTGTATCAGCAACTTAATGGATGATACATGCTGTTCTCTTCTATAATTAGTTTTCCTGGTTTTAGTTTGAGCAGTTTGAAAAGCAGCTACTACTTCTGAGTGTGCGGGGTGACTGCTTTGCTGTGACTACAATTCCCTGGTGTCTGTGTGAGGTGCCATTAAACCTGAGTTATTGTGGGCGTGACTCTGGGGCCATGACTTCTGAGAGGCAAGGTGTCCTTTAATGAGAGGCGTGTGCCTTAGTTTAAGGTCTGAGAGCCTTTGCCTTATAAATCTTATGTGTACGTATAGGATAAGTTGACGTTCAAATTTTTCTCTTAGTCCTTTTTTTCTGCCAGTTTGCCCCTTCTTTCTAATACATTGTAATCTTAACTGAACTTTTAGCTTCATAATAAATCTGTTTAGGTAAGTGAAAATTGAAGTATGTTGTCAGTAGTTCTCTGCCATCCTAACTTAATATTTCAGCATATTTAGTAATTCTACCTAAAGTTTTATTTTATTTTGTCCTTTTTGTTGTTGTTTTACAGTTTTTCGCATTTAATTGACCTAACAAGAATCCTGGAAATGGGAATCCTCATCCAGTTTACTTATTCTGGAAACACTTAATATGTGAGAGGGGATTTGAGGAAATCTTGAGGATCCTGTGTGAAATGTCTGAGGGGGATTGCAGTTAATATTAAAGTCATGATGATGGCCACACTGACTAGCCCAGCTCTGGGCTTGCAGTGTTTCCCCTCCGACTCTGTGGGGTTTTTTTCCTTCAATGTGAGTTTGCTGGCTTCTAAGTTTTAAATTTTCAGACATGTGTCTTTTCATGGGTGAGATGTCTTATTCTTAAGTGTTTGAGTAAGATTATATTGTAGTAGGACCCCTAAAACAAAGGGAGAAGGATTAAACTGGAAAAACAGATGGCATGTTGTTGGTGAAATACTCCTATTGTGAGAAAATTGACTTTTTTGTGAAGCCCATTTTCCCCAAGTATTATACCCTTAAACTGATGTTGCTTGTTTGTTTTAGCATCAAAGCTGGACGACTCCTGTCCTACATTCCATATCAGCTGTACAGCAAGCAGTCCACCGTGCAGAGAAGTCTCCCCTTCAATCCTGTGTGCAGACCCGAGGATCCCGCACCAGGTCCCAGCAGTGTCACCAGGCAGCTCAACGACAGGGTGTAAGTTCGTCTGGTTTGGAGATACTGCAGAGCTGGTTTTTAGCAGTGGGTATGGTCCCAATCTGCTGAAGATAGAAGCAAAGTAAAATTTTCCATGGATTTTCTTGAAAGTAATTTTTTTAACACCTTTATTGTGGTCTGGTTCCTGTACAGTAAACTACGCATATTTCAGATGTACAATGTGATGAAGTTTAATAGATGTACACATCCATGAAACCACCACCACAGTCAGGACAGCTAACATTTCCATCACTCCCCCAGAGGTGCAATTTTCGGATTCTCAGTGTGTCCCTTCCCACCCCCTTTACCCGCTGGTAACCATAAGTTTGTTCTCTATGTCTCTGAGTCTGTTCCTATTTTGTGGATAAGTTCATTTGTGTCCTTTTTTCTAAGATTCCACATGTAAGCCATATATGGCATTTTTCTTTTTCTTTCTGGCTTACTTCACTTGAAAGTAATCATTTTTGACACATGTTATTTGCCATAGAATGTTACTTTCTCAAAAACTGTACTACGCCAGCTATGCTTTTGTTGTGTACTGTTCTATAGACAGTTAATGAAAATGTGAAATTTCTAGGTTATTTTTGAAAAATTCTAAATCAGTAACAATTCTAAATATGTATTTTATATCAACGAAAATTGAGTTGAAGACCCTCAAGTTTATAGAGTTAGAGGTTAATCTAGACTTTATTCCATGTGTCTTTTTTTTTAAGTGTATTTATTTAAGCTTTAGTTGCAATCATCCTGGGTAAATTGGCTTCATAGTTAATTGGTGTGTTGCCTTAACTTGTATATCAGGTGGTTCGTTACCATTAGCCTTCTCCTTATGTATGAAATTACTTGCTTTGGGAGTTCGATATATTTTTTCCCAAAGACCTGGAGACTCATTAACATGGGAGGATCCGATGTCACCACCTTCTGTTGTTTGTTGTCATTTGTTCTCTAGCTTGTTTTCACTTAGAAGTGTATTCAGTTTTTCCAGGTTACCTAAAACTTCTAATCTTTTTTTAATACCATCAGGCTGTGCATATAATATCAGAAAACCTTTCGAATACACAACTTCATCTTTTTTTCTTACCCTACTAATAAAAGTAGAAAATATGTTTTTAAAATTCTTCTTTTTGTTGATTTTAGGAAGAATGTACCTATTAGATTTTGCTTATTGGTACACTTATGCTGTTGCCTGATAACTACTCACTGGTGATGTATTTCCAGCACCTCTCCTTTGTAAATGTTCCCCTGTCTAGGCTGAAACCCTGTAGTGCAGAAAGAACGGGCCTGAGCAGTGCTTTCTTGCCAGTATGTGCATTTCTGTTGCATGTGTTGCTAGCGTGCATATGAAGAATCTTCACGATGTAGAAAACTAGATGTCAGACTTTTCCGACTTCACACTTGCTGCTTTCTGTGATCTTTATTTTTTTGGTATGTTCAATGCATTTTATAAATTTCTTTGAAATTCCTTTAAGTGATTTTTGCTTCCTTGCTCGCTCACTCTCTTTCAAGGGCCAGACTTTCTCTGACATGTACCACGTTAGGAATTCTTTCCTTCCTCTTTTAATCGTTTGCAGTAGGCCTTATTTTTCTCTTTCACTGGTGTGGTCATCTGTGAGGATGGGACCTACTCGGGGCTGGCTGTCGTACTCCGTGAGACAGTCAGCCGGAGCCGGAGCCAGCCCAGAAATGGGCGGTGAAGTTCTGCATCAGCTCACGTGTGATTTTCTGGGTGGTCAGATTGTCATGGCTAATTCACCCAGGAGGTGTTAGGAGGAGGAGCTTCAGATTAAACCTGGTGACGAGGTGACAGTCTCACTCATGCCTCGGTGCTGTGTGTGGCATCTGAACAGTAACTGGACTAGTGCTGTGGACTTTTCTAAGTAGAATGACTATTTTGTAATTCAGGTTTTTGTTTTTGTTACTTAGATGATTCTTTTGATGCAAATGAATTTTGTCTTTATTACAGAGCATTACCAAGCAGACATCTACAGAAGCCAGGATGTGAATGTAGCATCACATTTGTCCTGCGTTTATAAACCTGTCGTCAGGACACTTGGTCCCGATTGCGTTGGACCTACCACCCTGGCATCTAAATAATGCTTTTCTTAGAAATGAAAGGCTAGTTCCCTTGCCAATAGGGCAAGCATCCTCATTTTTCTAGGTATAAATTTTACTGAATTAGTTTAATTGAATTAATACATTGACCTGACTTCTTTTAAATTTTTAACTACTTATACAAGAGTTGGCCCCATTAATGGATTAATTTAGTCTGTAAGTTGTTTTTGGAGGGAAAGTGACCAACACTCTCAGGATTGTAGCAGTATTGGATTTAATGTGTTGAACAGTGCCTTACATAAAACTAAAAGTAAAACTAGGAATAAGAACTTTAAGTTTCCTACCCATTGTTATGGGAATTATCCATATTATATTAGTTCAGCAAATATTTAGTGACTGCCTAGTAAATGCCAGACACTGTGCTACAAACTGGGTATTTAAAGCTTAGATATTCCAATTAGTTTTTGTGGGAAGATAATTGAAAATAGATTTTTGGATATTTCTTCAATCTGAAAAAAGATTCCATTGGATTTCTTCCTTGGGAGTATCTGAAATTTAAAAAAACAAAAACCTAAAAAACTGTTCAGGTTCTAGGATTTTCCTAGTTACCTTGCTACTTCATTTGAGCAAAGAATTATCTTTTGTTAGAAGAGAAATAAAAGTTTGTGGCTTAATAATTCAGACTTGGGATTATTAAAGTGTGTATCACTAAGACAGTGTTTAAATAAAAAAGTGTTTTAGCATGAAAGTCAGGCATTATTAATTTAAATAAATTTTTTTCCTGCTTTAGAAATCACATAATTAAAAAGATTGAGACAGAAAATGAAGTCAGAGTTGGTGGCGTGAACAATTGGAAGGAAGAGGATGCAGAAAATGACTTTGGTTTTGTGGAGCTGGAGCCGATCTTTCCAGGAAGGAAACAGAACGGAATCATGCATCCTGGAGACAGCAGTGCCATTTGTAATGGACACGCTCACAGCAGCTGTAACGGTGCCTTACAGACGCAGGACTGCTCAGTGCCCCCAGGCCGCAGTGGCAGGCTGTCCCCAGACCCGGCTGAGAAGCACGAGCTGGGTGTGCAGCAGCCCCCGCACAGCCCTGGGGACACGGCCGCCCTGCGGAGCCCGCACAGAACTCACCCCTTCTCCTTACCGCCTTTGCACAGCAACACGAAGATCAACGGCGCTCACCACTCCGGCGTCCCGGGGCCTTCCAGCACAAAGAGCACTTCTTCAGGGCCGCCTCTGCGCAGGGCAGCGCCCTCCGGGCCGCCGCGGCCCTGGGACTGCAGTTTCATCTCGGACTTCTACTCTCGCTCCAGACTGCACCACATCTCCACGTGGAAGTGCGAATTGACTGAGTTTGTCAATACCCTGCAGAGACAAAGTAGTGGTATCTTTCCAGGAAGGGAAAAGTTAAAAAAAATGAAAACAGGCAGGTCTGCACTTGTTGTAACTGACACAGGTAGATACTTACTAAAATTGTTTTCTTAAGGAACAGTCATGCTTGACCATTTTGTTCTTAATCTGTCACTAGCATTCTGATCAGTAGTACGCGCTCGTAACCTGAAGGCTGTAGGAATATCAGGTCGTGTAAGTTACAGTAAGTATAACAGATTATAGAAAGCTGTCTTACAAAAATATTTTTGACAAAATTAGATTTGTGTGTGGCTAACTGAAAATTTTTAGGTTATTTGAATAGTAGCAAGGTTGGGATTCTGAGCATTCATTCTTCACGTAGACCTTATCAGTTGTTGAAGTTTTGAACCGTAAAATACAACATGTATTATATTCAGTGCCTTAACTCCTGTGAGAGTAAAAATTTTTGATGAGAATAACGTAATTTTTAAGAGCTTGCATCATAATTATTTTTAAATAATTAAATAACTTTGACATAATAGCTTTTGAAATTATAGTGGTAAACTTCTAATGAGATTAAGTGTTTTCACATATAAGTAGATCAGTTTATTGTGTTTTGTTTTTCAGTACTTTCCTTGTCATCGAAAACAAACAAACCCAACAAGAGCAGGCCACATTTCTGTGCCTGTCATTACGAATTGGTGTCTGGTTTGATGTTTTAGTTACTTTTTACAGGTTACATTTTTTTTGTTTTTGTTTTTTTCTGGGGAGGGATCTCAGAGATTGTCTGGTGCTACCCTTTACTTTATAGCTGTGGAAACTGAGGTGCAGAGAGAGACTCATGGTTCCCTCAGAATATGATAGAGCCTCTCCATGTGGGTTTTTTCTGGTATGTTTTGCTCTGTTTCATGTATTTGAGATCTTTTTTGTTATTTGTGAAATATTTCAAAATAATATTACAGGTATTAGATTATCCTTATATCATGCCTTGGCCTTGTAACCTAAAGGTCATCTAATTTTGAAAGCTTCAGAGAACTATTATGAGTCAGGTCCATGAATGAGAGTGAATGAGAGATTTTGCATCGTGTGGAAGCGCTCAGCAGGCAGTGTGTGTAGTCTCTACGACTGGAATCTTTAAAACAATTATTTTGGGTTGTTTACATTGTGTTTATATAATACTTTTATACAGCAGAATTAATTGTTAAGATTTATTTTATAAATTATCTCTCAGGGTAATATAGCGGGTAACAAGGAAGTCCATGGCTTTGGAGTTAGATGCCATAGCCTGAATCCAGATCCTGGCTCTGCCTCTCTTACGATGCAGGACCACAGGCACATGAGCTCATCTCTCTGAGTCTCAGTTTCCTGTCGATAGAAGACTGGTAGTCCAGGATGCTCACCTCGTGGGGTTGTGAGCTCAGGAAGGTGATGCACACAGAGGCCCATGCCTTGCACTTAGTGAGGACTAGGTCCATGCTTTCACAATTGCAGTTTGGTAAGTAGAGTTGTGAGTAAATGTAAGGTTTTGGAAGCCTGTTATGAAGATTAACCCTCAGTGCTACTGTTCTTAAATCTATCAGAGGAAAACCCCTTTATGAGATCTCACTTTTTACAGGTGTGGTGGCTCGTGGACTCTGAAATCAGACTGTTTAGGATTGAATACAAGCTCAGCCTCTTACTGGCTGTGTGCCTTAAGTTACTAATCTGCACAATGAGGGTGATGAGGGTACCTATCTCAGTGCCGGTGTGCGAAGTTAAATGAACTAATACTTGGAAATCTCTTATGACAGTTGACAACTTACCAAGCACTCAGTAACTCCCGATGTTTTATCAGGGATGCTGTTGACTGTATGGAATAGTGATCATCTAAAGTTACCTAACTCCATGGAACTAATACATGAAAACACTTTTATAGGTTTTTATAAAATGTTCAGCACACAGAAATAATTCTAAGATAAGCATTTAGACAAACTTTTAATTAGAGACTGTTAGAATGCAGACTCAGAAAGCATGGCGTCCTCACAGTTGATTTTAAATTATCTTTGGAGACCAAATTTATCTCTCTGAATTATGTTTAGAGCCAAAGAAACTGAAATGTGATTTCTCTTGGGGTGATAGAAATAATCTCTTAGAGAATTTGTTTTAAAGCTTCATTCTGCTTGTAAGTATTTTAAAAATGTAATTTCTAAAATTAATTAGACTTGGTTTTTCTTTTAAATACTAAAAATTAGTGTGGGGTTTGAACGTTCTCTTTTTCCTTCTAGGAAATATGTCAGTATTGAGCTCATCCAGACATCAGAGCTGTATAATGCATGTTGATATGGACTGCTTCTTTGTGTCAGTGGGTATACGAAATAGACCAGATCTCAAAGGTCTGTATTCTTGTTTATGTATTAAGAAAACTGGTATATTGTTATAAATATATATTCTAAGGGATCAAACATATTCTTTAAGGAATATTGATCTAGTTTTCCTTGGCAAAATCAATTCCTGTTTCCAAATTTTCTAGACTCCATTATCAAGAAAGATACAGGGAAATTAGGAAAGTTTTTTCCTCCCTGCAGAGATAGGCCTTTAGGGAAGAGTACTCATTTTCAGCTGAAGCATCTGTCATCTAAGACTAATGTAGATGGGGACCTGCTTTGGACATTTTCTGTATTTTTAATCTATATTTACTATTATTTTGTCAGTAAGTAGAAATTTTATGGTAGCGTACGTCTTTGCAACTTGGGTCACCCTGCTTTCTGTTGAATAAATAACCTGATTAACTGTCTTGACACTAGGGGATGTTCCAGCTTTTTGCTTGCGGGGTAATTTCGTATTATTGAACATTGCTAAAATATGTTGTCATTTGTGCAGTCTTTGTTTCAGTGGAATTTTAGGTATTTGTCAGCTAGTCAGTACTTCTTAAAACATTTCTTCTGGACTTTTCAGTAGTTCTCTCTACGTCTGAAAAAGATGACCATTAGCATTTTCTCCTGAGAGCCGGTTCTTTCTGTAAGGAGAGCACGGGCGCTGCTGGGGTTAACCCGAGGGCTTTGTTTTTGTCCCGAGTAGTTGCTGCTTTAGCCCTGACAGGAGTGATCACGATGTTTGGAGCTGATTTTAGCCCATGGGAGACTTTTTGATGCTTTTTTTTTTTCTGTCCTCACAACAAATGCATTCAGTGAAATACATATATGAATTATCCATGCTGTTGCTTTGCAGAGTTAGAGTTATCTGGTAACTTAACACACACGCACAAGGAGAAGATATATGAAAGATTTTACAGCCAAAAAACTTGGGGCTGTACATACTCACCTTTGATTATGTAGTAGGTCAGATTGTGATTCTTCTGCGTATGTATTTGTTTCTCTTGCTGTAAAAATAAAGATTAGTTTAGATGTTACCCTACTTTCTGGTTCCAGAAGTACAATCTAGATACAGTTTTTTTTTTTTCTCTCTCCCCACCTTACCAGTCTGAGTCTAAGACCTGAGTTGCCTGTTTTCTGCTGTAAGAAAACATGGGAAGCTATGATAGTGTTGTTTTTCAGTTGAATAAATGCATCAAAATTGTCATAAATAGTTTATTTTCAGGGGGGTGCAGAGAAGCTTAGGTGGTTTTTGCATGGTGATTGATAATCTTTAAAGATACTATCTCCTTTTTGGATTAATGCCTAAGTAGAGCTAAAGAAAAAATGTCATTTTTTGAAAATGTTTTGAAAAATTTTCCTTTACATGTTATCAGTGTTGTTAACATTTCTGTACGTGGATTTAAAACTAATTTCATCCTTTTCCTTACAGGAAAACCAGTGGCTGTTACAAGTAACAGAGGGACTGGAAGGGCACCTTTGCGTCCTGGTGCTAACCCCCAGTTGGAGTGGCAGTATTACCAGAATAAAATCCTGAAAGGCAAAGCAGGTACACATAATGAGCTCTCTTTGAAGCCATAGTGCTCCTGTTGAACACTTCGGGATTTTGCTGTTGGTATTGTTACAGAAGTAAAAGCAGTTGATATAATTAGCCTTTTCATTGAAGGGTTTTAAGGGTGTCAGTGACATCTTAAAGCAAAATCTGAATGTAAGACAAATGACTGGTTTATAGTACGCTTTGTTGAATTGGATGATGATACCTTCCTGGGAAAGAGAGGGAAGAATGTTTTAAAAAGTGTGATTAGTTTGCTTTGTGTAAATTTAGCTTGGGGATGAAAACTATGGACATCATTTTGTGGAAGCCTCGAGACTTGAAAGTTAGTTACTAGCTGTTTGGTCACTGATCACAGGACGCTGAAGTGTGTGTTGCTGAAGATTTGTGTGAGTCAGTGGAGTAAGAGAGAGCAGGGCTTTAATGCATTGGAATAAGAAGATAAATACCAGCGTTCATTTGCCATATTTTTTTGAACCTATTTCATATGAGAAAACTTTTTTCTTGCCCCTCAGACTTTTAGATTTTGGCTTTTAATAAAGAAAAATCATAAATTATACTAATCATAGTACTATTAAGGTTTTCATCTCTTCTCCACCCTCCCCCTAGTTAAATTCCCTGAAAAATATTTGCTTAGAAATTAAATTATTTGACATTGATCAGTTTTCTCATGGATGTCTACAAAGCCAAAATTTTTTTAAATTAATTTTTCAGAAAAATGTTGATCAGAAATTAGGTATGCATTAGAATGGAAAGCAAGCAGTTAAATTTCATCCCAGTTATTTCAGGTCCCTAGTTTTCAGTTATAAAACTTGGGGCTTCTTTAGAAATGATCTCAGTGAAACATTAAGACAAAAGGAAATCAAGTTGACATCTGAGGACCTTTTTAAGATTACAGTGTTGTTGGTTGTGATCATGTTTACATGCTGTAGGTGCAGAGGAAAATAATTTTAGATACATCTTTATGCTTCACATGTGTCTGTATTTTCCAGATTTCCTAAAGCTTTTCTTGGCCTTTAAATCTTTTAAGAGCTTTTGTATTCTAGCATTTTCTGGGTCCTGAGTAGATCTTGAGGTGTGGGATACCGAGCTGGTTGAGATTCAGTTGTTTTGTGATATTTGACAATATGGGTAGTTCTCAGGTGTTGGTGGTTTTGTGGAGGTTGGTTTTTCTTTTTGTATTTCCTGTGTAGTATTATTTTAAAGATGAAATCTAAAACTCTAGGAAACAGATAACCTTAAGGGAATGAACAAAACTTGTCCCACACTGGCTATTCAGTGAAAACTTACCGAGTGAACGTTAAAAAGGGAAAACATAGCACGTGCATACTCCTCGGTGGCGTCTCTCAGGTGCTCAGTGCTCAGGGTTTCTCCAGTGGTGCATCTTGTGTTTGTGACACCCCTCGTTTCACAGTCTGCATCTCGAGGTGTGGCCTTGGCAAGCCCACATTCCTCAGGAGCAGCAGAGAGCTGGTCCTCTTGCGTCTTTCCTTCCATCACAAAAGCTCTGGCGATAAACTGTTTATTCCCAGAATTGTGTCGCTCGTTACTTGTCTTCATCAATTTAGCCCCTAGATTTTCATAACATTGTAAGGACCTTTTATAACTCGCATCCCCTCCACCTCTGAGTGTGAGTTACAGTAAACCTGAAGGTAAATATTCAGAGAACTATTGAAATTTCACTTGCCATTGAAAACTGTGAAAATAGACTTTCCTGTCACTAGGAAAAGTGAATATGATACTTTGTGTTTTATACTTTCTCTTTAATTTGATATCATTTACTTATTCCTAAGCTTTTGACCCAGTAGGATCTTATCAGATATTTGCCACATGTTAACATGAATAGATTGCCCTTTATTATAAAGTTTGGTTGCAGCTCACTTTGTACTTAGAATTTGTTTTTTCAATGCTTTTGTTCCTCTTTCCTTGTTCTTCGATCTTTCTTTCTCTGGGTCCTGTTACACATGACACCAATTTTAAAATATTGAGGATCAATTTAGGAATTAGAATCTTTGGCTTCTGGACGCGAGGTTTTTTGAGAAAAATTCAGTTCTGATGTTGTGGCTTTTCTGTCTAGGCAGAGTGTTAGAGCAAATGGCATCGTTAGCCCTTTACAGAAACTTAGTGTCTTGCTTGTCGTGTTCACAGACTCTTGGTCTGATCGGGCCAGAGTAACCAGGGCCTTCCATCCCTGACTTCCTTTGGAAGCTGTCTGCTCCGCGATGCTCGGCAGGGAGCCTTCCCACTGATGATCTGCTTGCACTCCTGTAGGCTCGTGGTTTCCTGGCTGGGGCCTCTCCTCCCTTCCTGGATTCCAGAATGCAGATGTTTTCTGTCCCTTCAACAACTTCTAAAGAACAACAGTTTTTAAAACCGTGTTAGTCATAGATTTATTCTCAGCGATTTCTTTTTCACAGACTTGGGTCCTGGCCTCTGATTTCTCCAAGCGTTCCTCCACATTCTCCATGTGCCCGTCTAGGTTGTCGAGCTTTGACGAGCAGTTCTCTACTTTCCCTCCAGTGAGGACAGTGTGTCCCTGCATTTCCCTGAATCTCCCATGAAGCAGCTCACCCCGCTCGTGGAGGGACCGCGCACCCTGCCGCGCTGTGGAACAGGTCAGCCCGCCCGCAGAGGGGTGGCGAGGGCGCCCTCGGCCGGGCCTCGGGAGCAGGGCCCAGACGCTGTTCCGCCGCAAGCATGATTTTTCTGTGATTTTCAGGACAAGTTTCTTAGGTTAACCAGCCCTTCGGATATAAATCACCTGCCCCCACCCCCAGCTTTTAAGGCCTCACTTGTGGTTACGCCTTTGAAAGGCAGGCCGCTGGCGGTGGCTCTTCAGGTTCCAACTCTTCTTTTTTCTGGTTTAGAGCAGCCTCTGCTGAGCTGTGGCACTGCCAGCCCGCAGATTCCTACCGATTTTCAGCTTAGAGCAACGGCTGTTAGTGCTCATACTGAGCCGTCCAGAACCCCTCACAAGCACCCACAAACCCCGGTGGTCTGCTCTGCACTCTGTCTTTAATTTGTCACAGTACAGCGTATGTTAGTCACCATATATCCGAAATCGTAGCTCGAATTGTGTACTCTGCTGTTTTTATTTTTGATGCAAGTGGAATTCGACCCCATTAAGATGCCAGCCCTTAGAGCTTGACTTGCACTGTGCTTGGTGTGTGTGGGAGCTGGAATCCAGGAGTGCTCGTGTGGGTCGCGTAGCTGGGGGAAAGATGCTGATGAAATGATGGAAGTCAAACCGGGAAGAGCGTTTTGGCTCATAAGGCCAGACACTCTGCCATGTTCTCCTGGTGGTGTTTACCTGGCTGATTTTACATGGAACGTTATGTCTCTGAAATAAATGGAAGATAAATATTGGTTTTGTTAGTTATGTGTTGTTACGGTGTACTCAAAATAATTTTGTCTAGAATTACCTGAGTGCTATCTTGGTCTTACTTTACTAACTGATGGTATTTTTCATTCAGAATAGTAGAACTGTGACTGAGAAGACAGGTTTTTAAGTCATACTCTTCTTGGAACTCAGTGGTGTCCCAAGGGACATAACACATGTTGTGTTTTAATCTGTTCCCTACTCGCTGGTGAGGTCACGTGATGTGTAGTCAGTGGGCTCTCAGACTGTGCTTTAACGTCCTTGTGTGAAGCTGTAAATCTGGTTTGGCTTTGGGACTTACTTGTGAGCTGTCCTGTTCAGGCTAGAGTTGTCATCTGTAAAGTAATTGATACTTTGATCACACTTGAGTGGTTTTAATTGAGAATGCATTGTTAAACCAAAAGTAGGATTTCGTGAAAAGGAGGATGATATTGTGATGCTCTTTAACTTGATGTGTGTTCAAAAGAACGATCTTAGATTTAGGTTGAAACTTTTTATGGTATATGACTTTTTAAATTATTTTTTGATCGAATGACTTGTAGGAATTTGATGTTTGTTGAAAATATTAATTAGCTTTAAGTTTTGCAGGCAGTTTTTTTTAGGAAACCAAAAGAGCATTGAGAGAAATTTACAGTGTTTCTCTTTAACTATTTCCCATTCCAGAGAGCTCTGCCACCCTTGTGAGGCTGTAGGAGGGGGTCCATCTTCCTGATCACTTTCCATCCTTGTCCATCTCAAGAGACTGTGTTAAAGGAATATTTTATATTTATCTTTTGGTATATATATTTTAAAATTACTGTTAAGACAGAAATCTTTATTATGATAAGTTTTTGTCTGCTGGTGAAGAATATAATAGAAGCAAACCATTTTAGAGTTAATAAGGGGATAAATGTTAGTCGAGATGAGTATATTTGGACTTTATTGAACATCTGTGTATGAAAGGAGTGGAAAAAAATTTCTTGAATGAAAGTTAAGGAAAAAAATCAGTTTTTAACATACAGCCCTTAAATTTTATTTTTAAAGCAGAAATACCAGATCCATCAATGTGGGAGAATCAAGATTCAGTGCAAATAAATGGAATTGATTCTGTTTTGTCAAAGGCCGAGATTGCGTCATGCAGTTACGAAGCCAGGTATGTAAAAGTGAGGGCGTTGCAGTATTTAGTGAATAGTTAATTTACTTAATCATTTTTGTATAATCTTTTGAAATGGATTCACACATGCTAGTCAGGCCTACGATTTAAGTTTTTAGAGATATGTTACGGAAAGAAATCTTTCTAGCCTTAAGCCCCATTGGTTCCCTTTTTTCCCTTCACAAATGCTGGATAACTTTAAATAAATATTTTAGTGGCCTGAAACCAGTAGGTCCTGTAGTGGAAACAAAAGAAGCTGGACATTGTCATTCTTAAACCATTGTCTTTTGAAGCACAGAATTAAAGAACTAGATATTTTTGAATGGGAGAGGGCCTTAGTGTTCGTCTACTCGGATCCTTTTTAAGTTTTGTCAAAACTTGACTGCCTGTTAATCACAACTAAACAGTTGCATGCCGGCCCGCCCCCTCCCCACTGTGAGCTGCAGTGTCAGCTCATCCACTTTGTTTGCGGAACTTCACCTCACAGGGGCCTTGATCTGATCACAACCAGCTGTTTCAGTACAAGAAGGAGACATCTATAGCATATGATCCTCATATTTTAAAATAATTTTCATTTTTAGAAAATTGATTATAATAGTTGTAAAAATTGAGGGAGTAATAATGAAGTGATCAATTGAAAAGAACATTCCTTTTTTTCCCTTTTCTGATAACTAAACACAGATGTTTTTAGCTTTATAACACAGCAAGCATTTATTTACACACTGTTGGCAAGTGTTAAAGTATTTAGTAATTAAACAGAGTCAAGTCATATCAGCTACATTTTCAGTCGTTTTGGGGGGGGAGTACTATCTTTATGGTTTGTCTTCATACTTTTTAAAAATTGAGATATATTTGATATTAACATTAACTGTATACAATATTCACTTGAAATATGTAACTTTTTTAGTCTTGATTTAAAGTTGGTTATTCAAGCAAATCTAATCTGCGTAAAAATATAGTTCAGCAGCATCTATTTAGTTTGTTTAAAATGTTACCAATTATTTTAGTAAAAGGATTTTTAAGAAAAAAGGATTATGTTCAAACATGCATAATTATAAAATAATTTAAAATTATTTTTCATTTATGACATATCAGACTTTTACTCCTGGACCAAGTTTGCCTTTCTCATTGACAGAATTGTTTTAATCTTTTTCTTCTTTTTCTTTTTTAGATTTATTTTTATTTATTTTCATTCACTTTAAAATTTTATTTTTTTTTAATTTAAGTATAGTTGATTTACAATTTTATGTTAATTTGTGGTATATAGCATAGTGATTCAGTTATACATACATATGTATAAATTCTTTTCTATATTCTTTTTCATTATAGGCTATTACAAGGTATTGAATATAGTTTCCTGTGCTACACAGTGGGACCTTGTTGTTTATCCATTTTATATATAGTAGTGTGTATCTGCAAATCCTGAACTCCCAATTTATCCCTCTCCATCCCCTTTCCTCTCTAGTAACCATGTTTGTTTTCTTTTTCATTGTTAGTTGCTAATGTAGCCAAGGAATTGAAGCTTACTTTAATAAATAAAGAAAAGTCAAATCTAAGTGCATTTTGGATTGTTATATGTTTATTAGCACAGGCAGTTTAGAGCTGATCTTATGCGTACTGAGTTATGGAATGGTGACAGGCCACGTGTTCTGACGGCTGGACGTTGTGTTCCGTATCTGGGGGGGTGATGAAGCCCAGAAATACCTGCTCATCTTTGGAGTTTTCTAGCTGATCAGATGAAGGCTGTACCCTTTCTGTGCTGCCTCTGCAGGACCTCTCTTCTCACCTAGCGCCCCAAGCGGGAGGCTGTTTGGGGAGTGAGTGCCAAGGCCGCCTCTCAGTTAGAAGTGTCGCCAGTTCCTGGTGGTTTTGGCCTCCAGCAGCCACAGATGTGTCTGTGCTCCTGGCTTCCGCTGCTGTTTCGATGGTGCATCTGTGTTGTGCGGCAGGTGGCGGCTGTCAGGAACGTATGACAGAATAATTGGGGTGACAGTATTGAGGGCCAGATACCGTGTAGCAAGCTGTTTGTGTCACTCAGATGGCAACTGTTTATTTTAAAGAGATGCAGAAAGTGATGGAAATGAATTTGAGTTAAAGTTGGGGAAACAAAAACAAACCATGAAACCCACAGCAGTGGGGTTTTTGTCCTTTAATTATAATTTTCATTTTCTAGAAGGCTATTCCTAGTGAATAGCCTTTACCCTTTGTGTGTGTGTGTGTGTGTATGTGTGTGTGTGGCTGTCTAATAGTTATATTTTCCTTAAGTGAGTATATTCACAGTTAATAAGTATATTCACAGTTGCATCAGAAAAATGTTTCTGCAGTTGGAGTGGGGACTGGTTTGTGGGGACGGTCATCCCAGTTTTAGGCACTGGTTTTCTTTCCGTAGATACAGACTTTATAATAATGGGGTCAGCAGAGGGTGAAACGTGAGCATGAGATGGCAGGAGTCAGAGAGGGAGAGTGTGTGTGTGTAGGTCAGAACATGTGTGGCAGACAGTGGTTTACCATGAAAAACTGGCTTTTACATAATAAGAAGGTGGACATGTGAATGGATAGGGAATGATACAGAAATTCATAGACTCATAAATTTTTAAGGTCAAATCATTCTTAAACCTCTGTTTGGACATGCTTTTTTAAGGACCTGCTACACTCCTTAATTAGTGATGTGGATGTCCTTAAGTATGTCGAATGGACAGTAGCAGTGGCTTAATAGCTAATTTTTTAATATTGTCTAATGCAACACAGATACAGTTGTCTGAGCACAGAGCACGCGGGAAGAGCCTGGGAAGAAGCTGTTTCTGCAGCAGACACTCTCACGTCCGGGTGGTTGACCCGATGGGGTTTTAGTGGGAAGAGTAGACATCCCTGTGGTGAAGAGTCACTTCGGACTGTTTTGCAGTCGTCTTTCCCCGTTTGTTTTGTATGCAGTAAGGCGAATTTCCCACCCATCACCTCAAGGTTTTTCGCTTCCCTTAGTTGTAGGAAGCCCCTTAGGTTTTCCCTTTTTTGTTCATGACTTCCTTACAGTGTCTGGTGGCCCCTACACATTTCTCTCTGGGATGTAGGATGCATGAGTTCATAAGTTGATGCATTCTCTTTTTCTAAGTAATATGCCCCTGAAATTTTTTGTGTAAGTAAAAAATTTGAAAATGAAACTCTTGTAAATGTAATAATATGATATCTATAGGATTTAACACCTTCCTTTAAAAATGAATAATTACCTTTAGTTTGCGCGCTGAACCTGTATACCTAGCGTTATTGAAAATGTTTTAAACTGTTCGTGCACTTCTGTGTAGACTTCTCAGTTCTCATATACACACTTCCCTGCCTTATGAACAAGGGCCATTGACCCGAATCCATCATCTCCTGGGCCAGTTGCTGGTCACCCTCTTGGACATCATGAGATCCACTTTGCTCGGTATACGTTACCCACCACTTCATATAATGCCTGACGCATAGCTTTGTGGTAAATGAAGGAGTGGTTTTCTGTCCCATGCTTCTGTTGGTCACCTCCTCCTTTGCTGTCATTTTTCCCTCCTGTTACGTGTTTCTCATCTGCTGTGGGCTTTGCAGTTAGATCATCTGTTAAACAATGCGTATCATTTTGCATTTACTTCCTCTGAGCAGCTTGGAGGATTCCTCTCCTCGCTCTCACTGGTGGTCTGAGATGGGCAGCATGCCGGAGGCCTCTGAGTAACTGAGGGCTGTTTGTATCTGTGTTTCCTAAAGCAGGGCACACCTCCACACTAAGCAAGCTCTTCGTAAATATTTATCGAATGACTGTATGAAGTAACGTTTGATGTATTTACACCGGAGTATGTAATCTGGTGAAGCATTGCTTATTATTACTTGCTTTTGTTTTTATGTCAGTATTTTTTCTTGATTCATTGCGGAGAGGTAAAATGGAATTTTACTAGTTACGTATAATTCCATAATCATAGTTTTGTGCCAAATGCTCCAAATATCAAAGGTAATGTGGGCATTAAGACACGCAAAAAGATTTAAAATTTACCATTTTCAGTTAGGTCCCTCACAGTTCTGGAACCGTGGCTCCTGCCAGAGTGACGTCTGTCCTTGGACACTGCTGTTGGCATCTCAGCCACTGTGCGGCCACTTCAGGAGCAGGGAATTGGTCAAGTGGGAACTGGGTGGTCATAGGATGAGTGCATTTTGTCTGTTTGTCACAAGCACTGTTTTGTGCATGTCCTTTGTTTATACTCTGTCTTTGGGGGATGAACGTTGGCCAGACCGTGCTGTGGGTTAGGGGAAGCAGACCTCTTCTGACAGCACATTCCTGCTCTGCGGTGGTTGTGAATCCCCAGCATATGGCGTGCCGGCGTCTCTGCACAGGGGCCAGCCCCAGATAGGCAGGAGCCAAGCCTGGTCTCTCAGTAACAGGTTTTGGCACATCTGCACCTGTCACTTCACTAATCAGACGATTGTGTGATTCTCCTTTGGGGGAAAACAAACCTGTAAGTTTTCTTAATGCCTGTTTTTTTACTCCTGATGAGAATGGAGTTAAATGAAAATTGTGTATTAGTAATAGTGGCATGGACGTATTGTCAGTATACTTGATACTTGATTTGGCACTTAAATTCCTAGTATAACTTCCACTGTATTTTGTTTTTTCTCTAGACAAGTTGGCATTAGGAATGGAATGTTTTTTGGGCAAGCTAAACAACTTTGTCCTAACCTTCAAGCTGTTCCATACGATTTCCACGCGTATAAGGAGGTCGCACGAACGATGTATGAAACGCTGGCAAGGTACGGCGCGCGCCGCAGCCCCTCCCCGTCTGGGTGGCTGCACTTCCTTTATCTCATGTGGGAGAGGGTCCAGCTCTCCTTAGGACTGTCAGGATCACTTTTGCTGGACTCCCATCTCTTTTGGGAAGCCTTCCCTCAGCATCCCAGCATCAGGTCTCCTCTCCTGCCTGCGAGCACCTCAGTGGCGGTGGCTCAGTCCTAAGGGCCGTCTGCGCTGTGGGGATTGTTCGGTGCTTCCCGACGGGGACGTAGAGCCTCGTGCTCTGACTGCTTACCTTCTGCTCAGCAGCTCCGGTTTTCCTTCCATGGAACGAGACAGATGAAGGGTTGGAATTTTTTAACCTGCTTATTCTCTTTTATTACATTTGAATTATAGTTTTGTTTAAAATTAGGACTGCTTGGTTAACGAGTAGAGACTCTTTCAAACCCTTTGTCTTCTGAAGTTGTTAGGTATGCCAAAAGTTAATTTTTATAAAAGTTTTTAGTAATACAGTTGACCCTTGACCACCGTGGGGGTTGGAGGCATTGTCTCCATGCAGTGGAACATCCAGGTATAAATCCAGGTAGTCGGCCTCTGTGCCTGCGTTCCTCCATATTCGCTGATCGTGTAACACTCAGGTATTTCCTACTGAAAAAAGTCCATGTGTAAGTGGACCTGCGCAGTTCAAGCCAGTGTTGTTCAAGGATCAACTGTAGTTTCAAGGTGGGCGATTAGTTGGCTTGAGAAAAGGAGGTTAAAAGTATTTACAGTGTGGGTATATTTAATATTAATTCAAAACTCAAAATTTAGAATAAGTATATGGCAGGACATGTGTGCTCTGAAGCTGGAGTCGGCGTGTTTTCTCTGTAACCAGCCAGATACGGCCGCTGTCCCGACTGCTCAGCTTGCTGTGCACAGTGGAAGCAGCCACAGACGAGGCGTGAGCGAGCCAGGCTGTGTTCCACGCAGCCTTGTGGTCCCCATGTTTAATCAGCATTGGGACCATGTGGCAACTCTTCCTTTTCTTCCTCTCTGGCAAATTGAAACAGTCCTCTGTGTGGCTAGGTTGTGACCCGAGAACAGCGCCCAGAGCATTTCCACGTGCGGGGCATGTTGATGGGTGTCTTCTAGACAGGTGTGTAGGCCATGGTTCCTCCCACCCTGCTGTGTCTGAGGCCTGACACAGAGTGGCATTAAATTTTGGATTTTTGTTTAGGAGACTATCAGTTACTTACTTGACTGATTTGTGTGACTTCTCTGTCCCTCAAGGATGCTGATAAACCACGTTTCAATATTTTTTAAATTAAATGTTGTGACAGTTCTAATTCAGTTACTACTTTTCAACTATTCAGAGGTTTACGAAGGTATTCTCAGTATAAAGAAACTGGAGTGATCATTTCTGCTGTATTTTTGGTAGTTATGGAAAAAAAGAAAATGCTAATTAATTAGCTGCAGTTAAAAGTTAAGTGAAATGGCGCTTGGGACAGTTTAATTAAAACGCTAGTATTTTTAGCATTTTAAGTCTTGTGGGGAATGTTGAAGGGAGATAGCACGGGAAGACTGTTGGGCCGCGTGTGTGTTTGCTGGGAGTTAAGCTGTGGCTGTGACTTGTTGCCTTGGCTTTGCGTTGGCAGCTACACACACAACATCGAAGCTGTGAGCTGTGACGAAGCGCTGGTGGACATCACCGAGATCCTCGCGGAGACCAGGCTCACCCCTGATGAGTTCGCCAGTGCCGTCCGCACAGAGATCAAGGACCAGACCAAGTGCGCGGCCTCCGTTGGAATTGGTTAGTATAGCAGCTTGTCTCCTGCTGTTCATTTCACTCAAAGCATTGCCCTGCGAGCGAGGACTACCGCTTAATTTTTAGGAGTGATTTTTAGATTTTTTTTTTTAATTACCTTACTGCATAGGCCTCCCACTTCTAAAACAGTTCTTAGTATTGCTCACAATTAGGCAGAACATGAGATAAAAGTGGTGGAAATGTGAGTGAATGGTGGATAATATCTTTGGAATAAACAAGGTGGTATAGTTCTTACTTGTTCTTCAAAAATGGAGGATTGAATTCAGTATTTGTCAACAGGGTTTTTTTCCGAGAGTGAACAGAGGCCCGTGTTGAAAGCGGTGTGGGGGGCGGGGTTGAGTTAAGTGTTGTGTGGTCTGAGTCTTGTTGGGACTCAGTTACTTTCTGGACTGGAGCTTCCTGGGGCACTCAGCCAGTCCCGTCCTCACTCGCTCAGAGCCGGGTCAGCGTTGTTGACAGTGCCCTCCCTGGTCCCCCTCTCCCCAGCCTCCCCGGCCTCTCCCCTCCCATCTCCTCCTCTCCCAGCATAAGCCCCCCAGGCCCTCCTTTCTGAACACGCTCAGCGCTTCCTGCTAAGATGCCTCTTTCCTGCCATCCCTCCGGTGGACCCGGGGTCCCTGCTGCCTCTGCCTCAGGCTCAGGAGGCAGAGGTGACACAGGTCCCCATGTCACTCCACCCGCTGCACCTGCATTCATGGTCACAACCCTCTTCCTCCGCAGCGCCTCATCTCGTGCTCTCTGGGGTTCTCATTTATACCTGAGTGACAGTGACAACATAGGGGGGCCGGTGCTACTGAAAGGTTTTCCTTACTTGCATGTCCCAAGATGGTGGGGATGTGCCACACGGGACCCCATGCCCAGGCACCAGCTGTGGGCCTGGAGTGAGGGGAGGTCCTGGGCCGGCCTCTGCCAGGGTTTCTGTGGGAAAGGCTGAACAGGGCACAGGACCTGGCCCTGGGATGATTTAAGGCAGGAGAAATACTGGCTTTGTGTCTGAGTCTGATACGGAGCTGGCTGGGGTGCATGCCGTGTGTGTAGGGGGCCTGCTCCCCAGGAGGTTGCTTGTTGCCTGGAGGGATGAACCAGCCGTTGGGGGGGGCGGTCTCTCCCCATCAGCAGGACTTCCCAGATGTCAGAATCGCACGAGTACAGAAAACACGAAGCGTGATTAGCACGCGAGCGGCCCGCTCCGTGCCAAGCCGGCTGTCCCGTCTCCCGGGGTGCGGCCCGCAGACCCCCACACCGTCCCTTCAGGCCTTGCCCTCTCTGGTCCAGCAGCAGGCACAGGTTTAGTTCTTCATTTCTAATTGTACTTATTTTTAATTTACAAGTGTGATAATATGAGTATGTATGTTCTTTTAAGTTCAAGCAGATAATTACGACAAAAATCCCAAATGATGTTTCCACTCCTCAGCTCCCCTTCCTTCAAAACTCACCACTTTTATCATTTTGGTGTGACTTTACAGTACCTTCTCTCTTCCTGTACCATAGGAAAACACACCATTTTTACTTGTCTCCCCTAAAACCAACGTGTGGCCTTTATAGAAGTCTTCTGTCTTTCGTGGGGGTTCTCTTACTCACACGGGGGCTCACCAAACCCCACCCGGGTGTGTCTCAGACCCCTGGTGCCGCCTCAGGTCCCAGTGCCCTTCCCTCTGCTCTGCGTCAGTTACCACGTCCGTACACACACCCTGGACCTCCCTGTCAGTATCTATCTTCATCTTTAAGACATTCATACCCTCAGCTCCTACTGCACGTGTTCTGGACAAACGGTGAGACCTCTGGTCCTTTGGGCTTTCTTTTCCCTCGGTCTGATGGCATTCCTTTGGCCTATTTCTACCGAGCGTGGATCCAGTGGTTGGTCAAATGAACTGATTGCTGATCATTCCCCAGGAGTCCTATAAACCTCCAATCTTAAGATTAGGACTGTTTTTTCTGTTCCTTTATCTGGTAGGAGGTGTTGAAATGACTGTTTTGGAACAGAGAGAAACCTCTGTCCAGGAACCATGCTGGTTATAATCTGTAACACTTAACAGAATTCTGCCAGTTTTGTCCTGTGTTTGAAATGATCAAAACTGCAAATTATTAATTTTCATTCTTTTTAGAAATTTGATAGGTAACCTGTTGTAGATGTCGTTGTTAAGCAATTTAGAAAATAATTGTGAATATTTCTTGAATGACTTTTTTTTCTTCCTTTTTTTAAAAAAAAAAATTTTACAGGTTCCAACATTCTCCTGGCCAGAATGGCAACTAGAAAAGCGAAACCTGACGGCCAGTACCACCTAAAGCCGGAAGACGTGGACGATTTCATCCGGGGCCAGCTAGTTACTAACCTGCCAGGTGAGTGCAGGGCTTCTCTTCTTAACTTTATTTCTTACAAACATTCATTAGTGCTTTTCATAGTTGTGTCATGTATCTCTGTTTTCCAAAACATGAATTAAAAAATCTTTCAATCTTTTATTGAGTGCATGAGAAACAGATTGGAGAGTTCCACAGTGGATAACCCTGTCAGTTCTTTATCAGAACCTTAATGTAACATTTTGGTTTTGCTTCTCATGTCTTTTACTTTAAGTATTTAAATATTTCTCAAGCAGCAAGATCACAGAATTCTAAGAAATTATTTTTAAAAGAGTATAATGAAACTGACTTTTGGTCCTTTAGATAAGTCAGAACTGAAATAGTGTACTTCTAGGCCATCAAGTTCTGTTCTTCTGTTTACAAAATTATCCTGTCGAACTAATGACACTTTTTTCTTTCTATTTTTTTTCCCCTGGTGAGGGGAGTTAATTAGGTATTTATTTATTTACCTACTTAATTACTTAATTTATTTTTAACGGAGGTACTGGGGATTGAACCCAGGACTTCATGCCTGTAAACACACGCTCTACCGCTGAGCTCTACCCTTCCCCCATGAAAGTTTTCTGAGTTTAGTAAGCAAATAGGTTTTAAAAGTAGAAAATGTAAGAACTGCATTAAGAAGAATAAAACCTAAGATGAAGCACTGGGCTTTGTTAACTGGCGCTGAAGGAGTATGTCCATGAAGGTGCGCCCTTCTCCTGAGGGCGGGCTGCCCCGTTGTGGTGCTTCCCTGCGCAGTGACCGTGTGGCTCGCCGACCTAGCACGTGAGGCTCTTTCTACGGAGAAATCATCAGACGTAATTTGGTGTAACTGAAAAACATGGTTGAGGCCTTGAACAGATGTGATTTTTTTTTGTGAAGGGCAATTCATCTCACAATTATTAAATATTTAGACTTGCTTTCTAGGGCAGAAACCTTTTTGTAAGAAGTTTCTCTAAACCATACAGTAACCCTTGGTACTGTTTCACACCACCCTCTCCTGCTTCTGTAAAGCAGCCTGTTAGCTTCACAAAGCTCCCATGTGTTGTTTGTGGTGAAATTCATGACTCATTTTTAAATTCATTTGTTTGTTAAAAGTGTATTTAGTGGTATTTTTAGTTGCATATTCTTAAGCCTAATAAAAGTATATCTTAGAAATTTCTGTTATAGGCCATGAAACACTAAATGACCCAAGTGTTATTTTATGGTGGGTTAGTTTTAAAGCTTCCTGACTCCCTGGGAAGTAACACCCAAGAATGCATTAGCATCAGAGGTGTGAAATGGGACATTCTGATGGTCAATTCGAGGTTAAATTTAAAGAATAATTAACCTTATAAAGTCATGCTAGCAAATCACCTTATTAGACAGCACAATTTAACAGTTTTAATAACATTTTATTGTACTTGATATAAGAAGGAACCAGTATATTTCAAGCTGCATGTGAAATTCAGATTCCTTTCACTGGCCACCTCTAGTTTGCTAAGGCCGCTGTGACAAATCACTGGGGACCGCGTGGCTTAAACGGCAGGAATTTACTTTCTCAGATTCCTGGGGACTGGAAGCCCAAGGCTGAGTCGTCAGCAGGTTCGGCTCTTCTGAGGTCTCTCCTTGGCCTGTAGATGGCCGTCTTCTCCCTGTGTCTTCGGTGTTTTTTCTTCATCTGTGTCCTGATCTCCTCCTCCTACAGGGACACCAGCTGTGTAGGATTAGAGCCCACTTACATGACCTCTTGTTACTGCAGTTACCTTTTTAAAGGACTTGTTTCCAGTTTCAGCCACGTTCTGAGGTACTGGGAGCTGGGACTTCAGCATGGGAGTTTGAAGAGGCACATTGCCATCACATAGCACCATCTTTAAACTGCACCATTTTTTAAGGTTTTCTTGCTTGTTTTGGGGTTTTTTTATACAGAAATAGAGAACGTTTAGTTTCTTGACCTAGTGATTTTACCTTTCCCCTTTATCTGCTCCCTGGCTGGAGGGACTTTACTTTCTCAAGGGCAGGTGCTGGCTCACATGACCTGGCTGGGATCTTAGGCACAGCCTTGAATTTCCCAAGGGATGTCTGAAATGTGGGGGTGGGGAGACTGGCTTCCTCTCAGGAGCCGCCTCCTCCCCCGCCTCCTTTCTCTTTCAAAACCTGGCGGTCGCCTGTAGCCACCCGGAATTGTTCTTGCTGTTTTCATGTGTAAAACTGCTGACTTTCATAAAATCCCCAGATTTATACTCTGCCGGATTGAAAACATGTCAGCATGTAAAACATCAGGCTTCTGTGTTGTTGCCCCTGTCCTGAGATGGCAGCCCATCCTAAGTACAAGCTGTTCCCTTAAAAGCCTGTTAAAAGGGGTTTCATGGGTGTGTGGGGGCTGTGCCCGGGGAGGGGACAAGCTCTGAGAATTCTTACGATAAAGAAGCCCATTTGTTCTTGTTAACAACTAGTAATTCCCCAAAGATACCTGAAGATGAGTGTGTGGTGCCTGCTGCCGTGTCGTGGCAGCCTGCCCCAGGACGTCTGCTCTCCCCGCCCCCCCGTGAGCAGGGGCTGCCAGCGGCAGCACCGTGTCCCCTGCAGGCGGCTCCGGCCCGTGTGCCTGTGGCCATGCGAGGGGCACGCCTGGCGCAGCAGCACCGTCGCTGCATCCTCAGGGGGAGGGAAGACGGAGGCAGAAGGCCTCCCACGAGCACCAGCAGCCGTGTGCGGCGTCCCTCTGGCTCTGGCCAGCCTGGTGTACGGCAGGTCCGTTCCCCTGGGTTTCTCCTCCCCATCCCCATCCCCATCCCAAGAAGCACGCGGCCGGGCTTCACCACGCGTTTCCCCTGTTGGTGAAGGTATCCTCTGGGGGATTTTCTTGTGACAACTCAGACTCTGCTGGTCTGACTTGTTCTCTGTTCAGGCTTGAACTTTAAAATGGCACACGTGGGAGGTGGCACCCTTAACACCTCTCATCTGGCTCCCACGAGGGAACAGATTCTCTTGATTTAACCTTGTCTCACCACCTCTGTGGCAGTGGGCAAAGCTGTAAGACTGACCGCCTCCTAACCGTGTAACCGTGTGTCGTGCGTAACGGCTTCAAGTGGTTCTCCTGGGCTAGACTGGTGGTTCCTTCTCCTGATGACCACGCGGAGAACTGGAGCTCGAAGCGGCAGTGACAGTGACGGGTGGAAGACACCAGAGCTCCCTCTGAGCTCGCTGGTAGGACGCTGCAGAGAACCAGAAACAGTCTTCCCCCTGGACGGAAAATACTGATCTGGCAGCGTGGAGGCCACTTGAATAAGAGTTTTAGTTCCTAGGTTACTCTGACATGTCTTTTCTAGGTGTGTATCCCTTTGTTAAGCTTTTGGGCAAACTGAGAGCAGCAGGGCTTATCAGCATCCTTTGGGTGAGGCTCCAGCCCTGCATCTTGAAGACTTGGGGGCTGCTGCAGGCTGGCTCCGCCGTAAGAGCGTGAACACCTTTCCAGGGAGATAACCTTTGTTGATAAAAGAAATCGCTCTGTCGCCCCCCCACCACTGCCCCACTGCCACTTTGTTTGCTTAGGAAGCTGCATCCCCACGTCACTTGTACCACTTTGTCCAGTAGGGTGGCAGGTGGCATCTGTGGGTTTGGACCTCTCATAAGTTCTTGTTCTATTCAGAGAAAATGTGGCTGAAATTCTGGTGAAGTTTGGTCATCACCGAAATCACAGTGGTATCCCTAACATTCCTGAGTCTCCTGGTACGTCTGTCAGTCACACTGTAGACTAGTTTAAGCAGGTCTGTAACTGAGCTGATTCTGTGAATAAGATAGAAAATTTGATATTACTCAATAAGTAAAAATTACATTCTTTTGAAAACTTATTCATATTTGAGAAGTTCTGTTCACCTTATGTGGAGTCCAAATTGATAAGCAGATTCTAGAAATAACTTTACTAGTATGATTTGCACGAAAAATATTCTTTAATCATGAGATGCTTGTTATGTCACTTCAGAATTTTAAGGGAGATTATTTTAACTTAGTTGTTTTTGCATGGAAGTTACTTCATATTGCTAAATTGTTTCTAATAGTTTATGTGCAGGGTTAAAGAACTATCTACCCATCTGTCCATCCATCTGTCCCCTTTCCTAGGAGTTGGACGTTCGATGGAATCCAAGTTGACATCTTTGGGAATTAAAACTTGTGGAGACTTGCAGTATATGACCATGGCAAAACTCCAGAAAGAATTTGGTCCCAAAACAGGTCAGATGCTTTATAGGTTCTGCCGTGGTCTGGATGATAGACCAGTTCGAACTGAAAAGGAAAGAAAATCTGTTTCAGCTGAGATCAACTATGGAATAAGGTTTACTCAGGTACTGACCTCTTCACAGCTTTTACCTCATATTCTTCTTTATATTTTCACGTAGTCCTTCCTCTCCACCTAGACCAGAGATTCTTGATGCTTGAAATGAAGTCTTAAAGCTCTTGCTATTCCCAGAAGGCTCATCTTTAACAGACGGGAGCAGGATATAGTGAATCCTACACGTGTTTAATGTTTAAAGTACTTGAGAATTCTTAGGTATGTAGTAAAATAACATGGAGGGTTTTTTTGTTTTGTTTTAAATGCTCGTCTGCAGCCAAAAGAAGCAGAAGCTTTTCTTCTGAGCCTTTCAGAAGAAATTCAGCGACGACTTGAAGCTGCTGGTGTGAAGGGCAAACGCCTGACTCTCAAAATCATGGTACGAAAGCCAGGGGCCCCCATAGAAACTGCAAAATTCGGAGGCCATGGAATTTGTGATACTGTCACCAGGTAAGCGTGTCTTAAAAAGGACACTGGATGTGGACATTTTAGTGCGGGTTATTACAGTTAATAGAAAACGAAAAATCCGGGAAGCGTGTGCATGCAGGTCTGTGAGCGCCGAGGTCCTGGACGCTGTTGTCTGTCCGCCCGTCAGCGCGTCCTGACCTCGGCTGCCTGTCCCCAGGCTCTCGGGGCTGTTGGCTTCAGCGTAAGGACAGAAACGGAGATGGCTGTGGACTTAGGGTCCTCCTGCGTGATGTCTCAGTGTAATGACCAGAAACGACCTGGATGAGACGTTTACTTCATGTAGGGAGGGATCATTGCTTTTTGTGGGAAGATTAGTCACTTAGTCTCTGCAAACTGGTAGGAAGCATCTTCAAACCTGGTGTTTTTATGAGGGCCTCTGATGTAAAATTTCATGTAAGATTTGTGACCAATGTGAAAATGCCAATTTTGCATGCCATTTTATACGACACAGAACACTGTATTGTAATTTATCTGTCAATCAGTGAAAGCTTTTTGAGACTTTGGGCCCTGAAAGCCACATATAAGAAAATCTGAAACATAGTTTAATTAAGGGTCAGCACATGCCAACCACATACGTTACATTCTTGTTATGGTATGTTGCTAAGAGTCATGAGATGACTGCTCTCAAATTCAGAAAACTTCCAGCTTTATCATTAATGCAGTTATTCACCAAGAAAACAAGGGTTATAAATTACACATTAAACAACGTAATTTTTAAATAGGTTTTTATGCCACTGGTAATCTTAAACTATTTACCTGTTTTAATAAACATTTTGCTATACCTATATTTCAAGTGGTGGTTTATAAATACAGTGTAAGTAGTCATTTCTATAATAAGTTGGTTATTAGGTCCTTAGTCAGGGATATAACTATCTTTTTAAACATGGTTTCTATGGGGAAATGAGATCCAATTTATAATGCCTTTTCTGATAATGTAACCTGGGACTTTATTTGTTCAAGATACAAGGAAAGGATCGTAAAAAAACTACATTTTTCTTTGAAAAGAGAACTGGAGATAGAGGTTCCTCTTGTTGTTGTGCCTGTAAAACACCTGTCATTACTGAGCATCGTGTGTCTTGGTGCATCCAGCAGTAGCGAGGAGCTCACTCTGTCTAAATGCGATAGGAAGATCAGCCTTCGTTTAATCCTCCTTAGAAAATCCAGGTTCTCCAAAAGTCTAAGTACAACATTTTAAAAATTGAAATTTTCACTATACTCTATTTCCCCCAAATGAAGGATAATATTCATTTAGCTTTTTTTGTAAGCACATACCTGCTTGCTGCTGTTGGCATTTTATTCTTTTTTGCCCAAAACTTAAAGTTTTAGTATGGAAGTGTTAAACATACACCAAAGTAGAACAGTGTCGTGACCCCCTGTACCCAGCAGCTGGTCTCAGCGGTTGCTGTTCGCTCCCCTGCCGCCCAGTTATTTTGAGGCAAATCTCAGAGACCATGTCATCTCTTCCGCAGATCTTCCAGTTTATCTCTAACAAGTAAGGACTTTTTATTTAGTAAACACAGAACAGTTCAGAATCTGCCTGCGTTGCTGGCAATAAAGTATACATTTTGCCTTGCCTGTAAAATAACATCTTTGGATGAGACATGATAACGCGTAAAACAGCACGATTAACTGAAACTGTAATTTTACAAATGTTACCGAACTATATAGATCAACTGTAAGCCATTAATCGAAACCTAACACTTTGGTGGTGTTATAACTGCATACGTGCTTTAGGTGACAGACTGTGAAATGTTATAATACTCACTCTGTATTCCTCTAACTCAGAGGCTGACGAGCTACTTACTTCCTGTGGGCCAGATCCAGCCTCTGGCTGTTTTTACATGATTTGTGGGAGCTGAGAATGATTTTTATATTAAGGGTCCTAAAAAAATGAAGACTATGTGAAAGAGACCACAAAGTGCAAGCTGTTTAGTGATTGGCCCTTTCCAGAAGTAGTTGTGGACCCCTGCTGTGGTCTCACTGAAGCTGTGTCTGGTTGAGTAAATTCAGACGTGTCTAATAATTCTGTGATCTCTTGTATTTGGCCTTAATCAAAAGCTCCATGGCAGTCCTGTGACTCACACATTATAACAGTCATTGAAATGACAAAATCTAGGTTGCGAAAGTCACAGAGCCACATGTAGACTGACATCTGTGGCTTGATTATCACTTAGGAAATTTTTTCTTGAAACAGATTTCCTTTTGGGAAAAGAATTTCACCCCCTTGGAATTCTTTTGTGTTTATGTGTTTTTTAATCTGAATTGTCTATTTTTTAAAGCGCTATGTGTAACTGAAAAGGTCAGACACAGCTTCCAGTCCCTTGCACTATTCTCCGGCTCTGAGCATCATTTTCAACTTTTTTGTGGTTTCTTCTGGAATTTACACCCATATTTCTAGAAAGATACTTAAACTGCTGTCTCTAGCGTGAGTTTCACAAGGTCTTCGCTGACCCTCTGCTGTGGGAGGGGCTTGTTCCCTCTCCTCCCTCGCCTGTTCCTGTTCTCCCCACTGACCTGTATCCTTTGCCCCCAGGAAAGCCGGCAGGTTTTGGTTCGATCACTGTCCAGTGTTACATTACGGTGACACGTACGCTCTGCATGTAGCTGGTCCGTTTGGCCCACTGCGACCACATTCTCCTTCCTGCTGAACTTGTTTTTCTTGGAGTTACCTCTGAGTACCTTGTTTTGCTTGCTTTGTTGTGAATTTGCCACTGAGCTTGTCCCCAGACTCCCTTCCACCATGACTGTTTGCATCAATCACATCAGCAGTCTGCTGGTCTGGTCTTTTTCCTGGACACCTCGCTCTCAGGGCCCTCCAGCCTGCTCCTCCAACCTGGATTCATTTAAGACCTGCTGCAAAGCTGGAGTCGTGGGATGTCCTTTCTCTGTGTGGATCCCTGTTTTCATGGATCCTGCGTCTCCTCCTCCTCGTATCTTAAGAGTCCGGGGGTGTAAACTGTTTTGAGCCTGTTTATACTCACACTCAATAGTTTTTCTCACTGAAAGATTATAAATATAATTTAGAAACCGTTCTTCTCACGCATGTAAATGCTCCAGTGTGGTCCTCTTTCCAGGGTTCCTCTTGAGGTGGGCACTGCTCTTCTAATGGCCTGTTCGGTGCAGGAGATCTCTTTCTCTCTGAAACCTCTTTTTCGTTCCTTTTTCTTTTTTTTATAGTCAGTTTACAACGTTGTGTCAACTCCTGGCGTAGAGCAGCATGTCTCATACACACACATACATGTATCCCTTTTCAAAGTCTCTTTCACGATAGGTTACAAGGTACTGAACACAGTTCCCTGTACTCTACGGTAGAAACTCGTTTATCTGGTTCTGTGAGCATTTCCGTGTATTTCCGATTGTAAGAGATACTCTGGCAGAGCTGGTCGGTGTTCTGGGAGAGCCGTTCCACGTGTGGATGCAGCTTCGGCGTCTCCGTGGGCGGAGTGAGCGCCGCGCCCTCCTCTCCGCTGCCGTGGCCGTGGCCCAGCCCCCAGGGTCCTCTCTCTGGTGCAGCTTCTGGGACTGTACTGATCTGTGTTTGTTGTGCCACGTATTTTGGCAACAGTAAATTTTTTGTTTCTGTTAACATTTTACATTTCTAAATTTATTCTTTGGACATTTAAATATTTATAGTATCTCTCGTTTCATGGATGCTGTATTATCTCTTACCTCTTAAATATCCTCTGTCAATCTGTTTCTCCGAGTTCCTTTTTTCCTGTTTTGGTTGCTGCCTTTTACATCAGAGATTTCCTTGGAGCATTTATCTGTCTGCTGGTTCTTGGCAGTTTGTATGTGAGCTGCCACAGGGCTGTTTGGAACCTCTAGGTTCTTAGCGGGACTTACAGACCAGGGGGCGGGTGAGTGGTTGGAGGGCCTTGGTCTTTGGTTACAACCAGTTGGCAGTAACTGCAGTCTTTTCTGTTAGGCTGCTCGGTCCCCCAGAATGAAATCCTCCCGTGTCCTGCTCGGGGGCGTGTGAGACGCAGTGGTGGCAGCTGGCGTTCTGGTTACTCAGTAGGAACGGGGTCTGGGTACCAAAGAGCATGTTACGCTGCTTCTGAGCGGGGGCCTCGCTCTTCCTTACTGGTGCCTGGTTCCCTTCTCGGTGTCAACGTCCTCATCCGTCACTCGGAGGGGGTCATCCCTGAGTCACCTCAGCTGTTCTCAGCCCCATTTTCTCCCCTCCTTTCGTAGATACCAGACACCTCTAATTGCTGACCTTTTCTGAGGTTTTGTAGCATAAATTCACTTATCTCAGGTCGGTGTCTTGCTTCTGGGCATTTAGCAGGCATTTGGTAACTTTCCATTTACCGACTTGCTTTCAGTTGTCTAAATGATGGCTAACATCTTCCCTCTACTCTTGTCTTCTGTCACTTCTCTGTCTTTTAAGAATTTACACCTTTTAAAAATAATTTCAAGTCAAGTAAGTATTGTTTTGGAAAGAAATGAAGATAAACACGTGTGTTTAAACCACCGTGTGCCACTACAGATTTGCTTTTAAGTTATTCTCTGTGTGAAATAAATTTAAGGGAGTTATTAGGTAATAAATTAATGGAAATTTTTTGCAAATGGCTTCTTTAAAGAAACAGGTACATTCATAGACGAATATATAATGTATTCATGATACTGTAAAAACACAGTATATGTAGTTTTGGTCACCCAGTAAGGAATGCTGGCACATGCTCTCCTCCATCAGGAGTTATGTGGCTCTAAGAGGTGTCTGTTCCAGGCTGTCTGGGTTTAGACAGGATGACACCAGACTCCGTCATCAGAGCTGTCAGCACATTTCTGTGTCCGCTTACGGAGCCTCTGAGAAAGGATAGTTGTACTGGGCATATTCACATATTGAAAACAGAGTCAAGAAAATACAGGAGACTCATCTTTCTTTCCTGAATATTAATCGTATCTCAACATAGATGATCTTGGAACCTAAAACCTCTCCTAGAATCTAAAACATTGTACTTATCATTCATGCTTAGTTGCAACATAATATGTGGTTTGTATGTACATTAACTGCAATACATCTTTTGAAAACATTTTTCTTAACTTAGTTTAAGTTGACCAGGTCCCCATTGGTTTTTATCTGAAAGTCCCACTGTTCTTTGATTTTTCTTCTCCCCCTTGTCGCCAATGTAATTAATGTAGTATTACTGGCTCCCTTGAAGGAAGACTATCTCATTCTTTTTTAGGGAATATATTTAGTACTTACTTAACCCTTTGGTAACCTTACTTACAACTGTCCTTTAATTCTTCAAACAGTTCCATACTATTGAGGTACCAGAGCGTACGTATGGAATGTGGCTTTTGTTCCCTAAAAAGTTAGTTCTGTCACTCACAGGACGGTGACTCTTGGCCAGGCAGCAGACAGTGCCCAGGTAATCGGGAAGGCTGCGCTCAACATGTTCCAGACGATGAAAGTCAACATCTCGGATATGAGAGGGGTGAGTGGGTGACGTTTTAAACAGGACTTCGTGTGACGTCGCTCTCACGTGAGGCTCGACCTGAGGCCGGTCGTGGTGGGCAGAGGGTCTGCCTACAGGCTTTCAGCTCCACTGAGTCACGGGGGGAACGGAGGCTGAACTCCCGACTCTCGCCTGGGCTGGTCTCCTCCTTTAGAGTCATATTTGTCCTGAAATCTGTTTTCTGCCTAGAATAATTCTTGAGTTTCGTATCGTGAATTTTTATAGTAGCTTTTAAACAAGGACTGGCTTCCCCACCGCCCCCAACACACCGTGCTCGCTCCCTTGGAGGCAAGGCGGGTGGGCTGCATGCAGCTGGTTCCTGACCTTTCAGGTCCCTGATGACCAGTGATGGTCTGGAAGGGGGTTCGGCACAGGCACATGAAAATGCCTTTGGAACAGACCGAGGAGAGGGCAGCAGAAATGGAAAAACCTTAATTTAGTTTTCTTAAAGATGACCCTTGGCAGCAGACCATGCGTGCATGCACGTACGTGAGTCAAGGGCAGTTACTGGCTCGGTGTGGGTTGTGTGGAAGGATCACAAAGGTGCTGAGCTGTGACTCACGCTTCCCCACGACGTCCAGGAAGTTCTCTTCGTGGTGTGTGAGGGGACTCCTCCTCTGTACAGACACCCGCAGCCCCCAAACCTGTTGTTTATGTAAAAGTACTTCATTTTGAATGGTAGATGAAATAAAACTGCAAGTAGACTGATCCTTTTTAAATTAAAAAAATTTTTAAACCTTAGTTGATGAGAACTTTAGTGGAGCACAGAATTACACTTTTTTGGATTTTCTGATTTGAGAGATTGTTTGGGTAGAATTGGGTGCTCTAAGATTGAGGGGAGTAGCGCTCACTGGCTAGTAAAGAAGCAGTTTGTTCTGTTTTGGCTTTGTTTTGTTTATTTACTTATTTATTTTGGGGGGAGGTAATCAGGTTTACTTACTAACCGAGGGAATGGGGATTGAATCCAGGACCTCGTACATGCTAATAAGCACAAACTATGACCGAGCTACCCCCTGACCCCCGCCCCCTAGAAGTAGGTTTTTAAGTAAATCACATAAAAGGCTGTTTTAATATTTTCCCTTAACCTTTTCCCTAGAAACCTATTTTTCATTCTGGTTCTAGGTTGGGATTCATGTGAATCAGCTGGTACCAACTAACTCGAGCCCTTCCGCGTGTCCCAGTCGCCCGTCAGCTCAGTCAGGTCACTTCCCTGGTGGGTCACACTCCGTCCTTGATCTCCTCCAAGTTCAGAAAGCTCAGAAAGCCACAGAAGAGGAGCACAAAGAAGGTCAGTGGCCGTCAGCCTCGCTCTCGTTTGGTGCTGCTGTATCCCTGGGAGGGCCGCTTTTGTGAGAACTGGTGGCTTTGTGCGACTTCTTAAGGAACAAATTGAGGTTGTGAGTTACGATGAATGAATCAGGAACGCAGTTTGTTGTATCTGCGGTAGATTAAAGTGCCCTACGACCCCCTCCCTTCCCATGCCTGGAGGACGCTGCCTGCTGTATGCCGCTGTCTGTGCTTCCAGTGTTCCTGGCTGCTGTGGACCTGGAAATACCACCTGCCTCTAGAACCCGCACTTTCTTGCCATCTCTTCCTGCACATCTGACGTCAAGTGCCAGTCCTGCTGCTAGCAGAGCTGAGTCTTCAGGGAAATGGAATGGTCTGCATTCTCCTGTCAGTTTAAAGTCAAGACTTAACCTGAGCATAGAGGTCCCGCCACCTTCCCAGGTATATTTTTATAGTTATAAATATGATGTAAGTACAAGAGTAGTTTTACAGTAGGAATGATGTTTTTAATTTGTCAGAACAGCCAAGCGAGGGAGAAAGGGCTACTTGATAGGGTGGGTCAGTTACTGAATCCAAAGGGGAAGTCAGGTCAGGTGAGGCTGTGTGTCTGCAGAGGTCGGCGGTGCGTGCGGGTCGTACTACATGGACGGAAGCCGGTCCTGTGAACTCCGCCGTGCCTTTCCCACGGCTGCGATCACACGGACTCACTCTATTCTACGCAGCTTTGGAGATCGTCAGTAGAGGCCTGCTGCGAGAGGGTTTTCTAACAGCGTTTGCAGACAGTTCCCTCGACAGGGCTCTTCCTGACACGGGCCCGTCGGCGCGGGCTGACTGGGTGCTGTCGGCCCTTTCGTTCCTTGGAAGCTTATTAACATAGCGCTTCAGGCTCTCTTGGGAAAATCAGTTCTCTGTCCCCTAAGTGGTAGGAGGCTGAAGGTGGACATGCTGGCCGTTAAGACTAGGGACAGGGCGACAGTGAGATGCTTGCAGTGAGTGGACCCCTGTAGCTGGTGAGTTACCCCCCAGTAGCTGCTCCTGGCAAGGTGAGACTGGCCCGCCAGCTCATGGAATGGCGTGTTTCCGAAGGGATTTCCACGGTGGGCAGAGGATGTTGGTGTGCAGGCTGGAGAAAAGTTTAGCTTCTAGAATCTCTTTTTTCTGGCTTGCCACTCTTGGCGTGTATGTACTTGTATTATGGGGCAGACAGTCTCCTGTCTGAGGGGTAAACTTCTGGCCCAGGAAGCAACATCTGCCTCAGACCTTGGCCCCCGCCCCTGGGTGAGGCCTGTGCGGGAGGGTCAGGGTGTGGTTCTGGTGGGGCTCACGCTCGTCATTTCCAGATTCCACGTTACTAACCAGGCGTCGGTGGCAGAGGGCCAAGACATCCCAAAGCGTGCCGTGCTGCGGGGTGGCACACAGAGCATGGCTGTCTGCGCCCGTGTCCCTCATCCAGGGTGTTGATGTGGCAGTGACGGTGCTGCCTGAACTCTCGACACATCACCTCTGAGCCTGCTCTGACCTCAAGATGGGGGTGTGTGTGGTGTCTTACAGCTGGACCCGTCTGTTTTAGAAGCACTTCCGCCTGATCTCCGGGAACAAGTGGAGCAAGTCTGTGCTGTCCAGCAAGGAGAGCCACAGGGCGACAAGAAGAACGAACCAATGAATGGCTGTAATACAGGGATTCTGCCACAACCAGTGGGGACGGTTTTGTTACAAATACCAGAACCTCAAGAATCTAGCAGTGATACGGGAATTAATGTAATAGCCCTGCCAGCGTTCTCACAGGTAAGTGAAATTGTGGGTGAAGGTCCAAGTATCACCCCCAGCCTCCTCCCACTCAGGGCACTTCTTTTTCCTTCTGCACCTTAACCTCAGTGCTTACATCATGTCCCCCGTCCCCTGGGTGTGGGGAGAAGTGGCTCGTCACCACATCGTTTGCAGGACTGAGGCTGACAGCAGATGGCAGGGGAGGGGGAGGCTTCCATCCAGAGGAAGGAAACATTCTGCTGCCTCACTGGCTGGAGACCTGGACCCCGAGTACCAGGGTGAAGACGGGTAACCTTACACGGGCAGATACCCACCAAAGCTGATGTTTAAAAAGCTCCACGTGTGCCTGTTGTCTTGAGTTTTGCTTCTCATGTTCTACTGGTGCTGCTTGCTCTGGTTGCTCAGCAGTGTGGTGGTTTTTAAATTAAATCAGTTCATACTCAAGTTTTCTTATTCTCACCCTAAACCTTGTGAGGATTTAAGAAGCTTTGATATTGAAGGACTATTAAGAATTCATACAGATCAGGAAGGTGTATGACTTGGAATAGTCTGTTTTGTGAAAAATTGAGACCAGCTGCTTATATAGAGTCAACTCAGGTCTGACTCTGAACTTTCTCTTGTCCACTAGGTGGACCCTGAGGTGTTTGCGGCCCTTCCTGCTGAGCTTCAGAAGGAGCTGAAAGCAGCCTACGATCAGAGACAAAGGCAGGGAGAGAACCCCACTCCCCAGCAGCAGGCCAGCACGTCCGGTAAGCTTTGGAAGTCACTCTTAACAAAAATGGAGAGGAGAGAGGAAATCTCTGATTGCTGGGTACATAACGGCCAGGCCTAAGCCGCCGGGCGTGTGAAGTGCTCCTGGAGGGGGGACAAGCACACAGTCCCGGTAGTGCGGTCATTCGTCACCCTCGTTGGGTTGTCTGTAACTTCCTGACTTAGAAGTCGGAGCACGTTAGTACCCAGCAGTCTTTTGAGTACGTGTCAAGCCAGCTGTTCTGAGGCTGAGCTTCCAAACAAACAAAATCTGAAAGCTTTCTGAATGTGCATCCCAAACATATAAATGAGGACAAACAGTGCCTGCTGAACCATTGTAATACTTCACCTGTTGTTTTCATTCCGTCCTATCCTGAGAGCCCTCAGTGTAGACAGACAGGGTCCCAAAGGTCACTGGTAAGTGGCTGAGCAAATCCTAGGCGCTGTGGGGCCTACGCTGTCAGCCGTCGCCATCACACCCACCCCGCAGCCTTAGAAAGAGGCCCATGCTGGGCGTGCGTGTGCGGGAGGAGGAAGGCGAACCCAGGCTGCTCTCCAGACATACTTTGTTGAGGAGCTTATGTCCATTTTCTTTTAGTGCCAAAGAATCCATTACTGCAGCTAAAGCCAGCAGCAATGAAAGAAAAGAAAAAAAGTAAGAAAAAAACCCCCATCAGTCCCCCAAAGAAGATCCAGAGCCCTCTGAGAAACAAGCTGCTTAACAGTCCTGCAAAACCCCCGCCAGGGGCCTGCGGGAGCCCCCGGAAGTTAACGGACGGATTTCTGAAACACGAAGGTCCTGCCTCGGAGAAGCCTCTGGTAGTCTTTTTTGTTACACTTTTTAAACTTTGACCTTTTCCTTCATCAGATCTTAACATACTTGATATTATATAAACATAGCACTTTTTATCATTTGTTTTCTTAACAGGGAGAACTCTCTGCTTCCACTTCAGGTGTCGCTGGCCCTTCTGGTTTGCAGCCTGACCCGTCTGGGTGCGTTAGACCCCCAGCGCCCAACCTGGCTGGAGCGGTTGAATTCAGTGATGTGAAGACCTTGCTCAAAGAGTGGATAACTACCATTTCAGGTTGGCTGGCTGGCTGGCGGCCCGTGGCAGCCACAGACTTGAGATGTGAGGGTCCTGTGAGTACAGGATAGGAGCAGGCTGAGTTTGTAGATGGAACCGTATTTCTAAATCTATAAGCTTAAACCAGACACCCCCTTTTTAATCTCTGGGGCTGGCTTTGAAAAGTTCCCATGTGGTGGCTTTCAAGTCCGCAGTGTTGTAGAAACAGAGTTCTCCTTTGTCCCTGCGCATTTCTGCCTTTCTCCTTCAAGAAGATAAGCTGGTTCTCATTTGCGGTTCCTCTCCTCTCTAGATCCAATGGAAGAAGACATTCTGCAAGTTGTGAAATACTGTACTGATCTCATAGAGGAAAAAGATTTGGAAAAACTGGACCTGGTTATAAAATACATGAAAAGGTAACCATTCAGTGCTTTCACGAATGGGGGGGGGGCATGCCCCAACAGCGGGGGGGGGGAGGGCGCTGGGCATGTTGCAGCCTTCAGAGCAATCGTGAGTTACTGAGAAAGGGCTGCCTTTATTTTGAATTCCAGAGAAAGAAATGCCCTACATATTGAGATCATTCCCCTCAAGGTTTTATATAATTTAAACCACATTACTTTCTGAGGATTTCAGGAGTTGGTGGCAAAATTGATTTGTTACAAGATGTTAAACTAATTCTTGAAAGATCAGCCTTTCTGATCTGCTCGCCTCACCTTCAGGTTGATGCAGCAGTCGGTGGAATCGGTTTGGAACATGGCATTTGACTTTATTCTTGACAACGTTCAGGTGGTTCTACAACAGACGTACGGAAGCACACTGAAAGTTACGTGAGCAGCACCGGGCCGGTGCTCCTGGGGCTGTGCCATCGGTGCTGGTGAGGTGTTGGCAAAGTGCATGACAGTAATGCTCTGAGTTGATAATTTCCAATTTCTTTTTAAGCCAAGTGTTTTGTACATTTCTTTTCAATAAGTGCCAAATTTGTCAGTATTGCATGTAAATAATTGTGTTACTTCTTTAACTGTAGTATAGATTCTATTTACAAAATGTTTGTTTATAAAGTTTTACGGATTTTTACAGTGAAGTGTTTACAGTTGTTTAATAAAGAACTGTATGTATATTTGTACAGGCTCCTTTCTGTGACTCCTTTAGGAAGCGAACCCTCAACTATTGTAACTAAAGGCTGAGAACCCTCCAAGCCAGACTGTGACAGGCTCCACCAAGCGCTGACGCTCCTGCGAGGTTCCGGACCGGGCGTCGGCTTGGTCCAAGCAAGGGTAAACCTTCCACACCAGCCGTCAGTCTCTACCCCAAGCATGAACACAGGAACATGTTAAGAAAATCTTCTTTACTTCTTCCAAGTGGAGGAATTTACATCTTTTTAATTCTAACACACACAATTGAAGATTAAGTTTTTCCTGGGAAAATTATGTCCCACAGATGGTTTAAGTTAGGGTTTGTCTTTTTGCCTCTACTGGCCCTTGAGAAACTTCAATAGTAAGCGTGGTACAGTTTCAAATGTATATAAAAGTATTTTTCTATGCTATGTGTTGTGCCGTAACACTTTAAAAATAGAGTTTACTTCTATACCAATGAATACTTGGGAACATTTTCTTCCACCACCCCACACTGACGTTATCCAACACTGTGCTATAAATAGGTAGTCACATATCGGGGATCTGCTAGAAGAATTAATCTCACGCTAATAGATTTTTTACACCAGGGACCCACTTCTCACATTCTTCAGGAAAATCAAAAAACTAGCCACAAATTACTAATACGAAGAAACCATTATGATGTCTCTGCAACAACCTAGAAACACTAAGTCCAAAGAATTAATACCCCACTGATTGTCTCGTCAGAAAATGGATGCATGACTGATAGAATTTTCCAGGACAAAACAGACCAAGATTGATGTATAAAATTCCTCACGTTAACACCGTGGTTCCTGTCCTGAAGGAGGGAGCTGCACCGGGCTGACTCGGGCCTAGCAGAGCTCGCAGCCCAGGTCTGTTTCTTTATTGGAGTTCAGAACTGTGCTCGTTACAGCGACTCTCGTGACTACACAAGCAGGAGGCAGCAGCCAGCTATAGTGTCACACAAAGCAGATAAAGAATATCAGAATGCCTAATGTTCTATTAGAAAATTCCTAAGGGCATATGGCAGAAGAATGCTAGAAAAAAACAATCACTGTGGGAAGGATATGCATAAATAAAGTACTTCTTACATCAAAAAAGTCCCAAGAATCACAAAATCTGCAGAAGCTTGGTTAATCAAATACTGCAGTACTGATTTAATCAGTATAAAATTGAAAGAGCTTTAGATCTGTAATAAAAATCCAAATCTGGGGAAGGGCAAACTTTAAAACAGCAGCCAGTAGAGGAGGGTCGGGGAAGGCGCTGGGCGCGTGAACAGGCACGTTGGAACCGTGGGGACGCGTCATCGACCACTGTCAAACCAGTGTAAGTTTCTTGGTTTCTCATGGAAAACATTTTATACACCTAGTTTTTTCCGTCTATACTTAAGTTCATCAGTTTTCAGATACGTCTGTTCCACTTTTTGTCTTTTCTTGGTGACATTACAACATAATATTGCATTTACTCCAATTCCTGCCCCGTGTGGAAAAATTAGATGATTTCAAATACTTTCTTCAGCTCCACGATGAGCTGCCAGTCGCTCTTCTGCATCTCGTCCCTGAACCAGTCCTTGAGGGCGTCGATGGACTGCCGGCTGATCTGCAACGCCCAGGCACAAGCAGAGTGAACAGAGCAACGTACCAACCAAGCGCCAGAGAGGAGCACGCGGCCCCAGAGCCCGGCCCCGGCCCCGCTCCTCCCGGAGAAAGCGCCTGCGGAGCCCGCTCTGCGGGGCGGCGGGATCCCAGCCCAGGCCCGGTGGGGCCAGCAAAGCAGAAAGGGCGGCACCGTCCTCGACGAGACGAGGCCTCGCCAAGGTCGAGCCCTGGTGAAGGGCCCGGTGCCAGTGGACTCAGCCCGCAGCCCCGAGCCAAGGCCATCAGGAGACACTTACCTTGCTGACGAGGATATCTGTAGCTTCAAAATGTCTGCCATACATTTTGGGAGATTCACCAGGGATAGGTTCTATTTTAACACAGACTTCTTGTCCTTTTTTTGCAACATCCACTTGTTTATGGTTCACTTCAATGCTTGTTACTACTCCAATGTCGACAAACTGTAAAGTAAGAACCAAAACCACAGTGTAAGCAGAGGACGCCTGCCGTCACAGGCCATGCCAGGACCCGCTGTGGCTTTGGGCCTCCACACCATGGTTTTCTTCTCACGGGTGAACCGGGGTGACACCACCACACCCCCTCTGCCTTCACAAGACGGCTCTGAGGACAAGAGGGGGGTCATTCACATGCTTTGGGAGACGTGGAAAGTGCTCTGTGGATCAGATGTGTTTCTCTTCCTGCTCCGCCCTCCCATGTGACAGCAGCCATTGGGGAGGGCACAGCAGCTTGGAGTCAGAAGTGGGTTCAGAGAGATGGGCATGGAGAACGAGGTGACAGAGGGGCAGGGACCTGGAGGCCGTGCTGAGAACCCCACTTCTAATTCTGCGGACGAGAGTTGTGAGCGACCCGATCTCAGTGCCAGTTTGGGGGGAAAACAACAAAACACCATCTGCTGCCTGTCTTGTGAAGAGAGGAGTAAGTGAAAACACGGAACCCGCTTTGGCCAAAGCCACACAGGAGTCATTACTGCCAGTAACTAGCCTAGCCCAGTCCACTGCAATGGTCGAGTGGCCAGGGCTCCCACAGTCAGTCAGTCACATGCTCAGAGGACTTAAGAGTGCCATTTCCCACTAAAGGAACCAGGTCTGCAGCAGGGGGAGGACCAGGTGAGCTGGGAGCACCTTCACGCCCCAGAGAGGGAAAAAAGGCTCCAAGCACTGTCAGGCAAGGGCACAGCCAGATTCCAGGGACTCCCACTTACCCTACAGGACAGTGTGGGCATCAGAAAATGGGTCATGGATGAGAACAGAGTCTTATTTTAAAAAATGAACTGAGTGTATAAAATACCTAATGAAAAGGTCGGGGGAAGGTTCTTTACAGAAGTGTGTGGGGAGGGGGAATCACACTTTTGAAACCATTAATGTAACAGACTTAGGACTGACGGTTATTAAAATTATCCCAGTGGTATTAAAGCTATTGGAATGTCCACGGGGACTTAAGAGTGCCCCGAAGATGACTCAGTAATTACAAACAGGGAAAGATTTGTCTCTGGTGGAGAAGATGAGCCATCAAGTCCCGCATTGTGATATCAGGACTGACAGCAGGTGTGACAACGCAGAGGCGCATGGGAGCGTCCATGCATGCAGCATCCTCTCCGGTCATTTTCCCCTGTATTTACTCAGTCATGGGGAAACACTCAGATAAATCCAAGCAGAGAAATCATCTGCCAAACTACCAGTCTGGACTCTTTTCCAAAAGGATGGGGGACTTCCTGATCGAAACATAACCAAATGCTGTCCACCCTGAAGGGATCCTGGACCAGGTCAGCAGGTGGAATTATTAAAGACACTTTGGGAACAAATGGTGAAATGTGAAAGAGGACTGTAAATTATAGGGTATTTTTGAATTAATGTTAATTTTTCTTAGCTATGATGCTTGACTAGAGGGAAGGAATGCGTGTTCATTGTTCTAGTCTTTAGACTTTTCCCTAGGCTCAAAACACGGAAAATTCTTCTAAAAGGGCAATAATTCAACATTCCTGGCACCTTTCATTACCCGCAGCGCTGACAGCAGGTGCTAGGAATCAACACTGATCAAGGCACCCGGAGACTGAGGAATAAATTACAGAAGGGGACCAGCAGCTGTTTTTTCATTTGTCATTACTTTCGATTCCCAGAACTGCTTTAAGAGATGACACACTTTAAAAAAAAATACAACCAGAACTTACATTTTTGCTGGGGACGCACACGGGTGTCCCCTGTTTCACCTGCCCTGCTTCCACAGTCACTCCCATCACTATCGGGTCCCGAGAATTGAAAATGAACTGAGGGAGGATTTTTATCTTGCAGGGAAATACTGCTATGTGCCTAAAAGGGAAAAGGAAAACCCAAGAACTTTTAAGCTTACAAAATCACTTAGCAGCATAAAAACACACACACACAGGTGAGTATGAGGCAGCTTCTGCCCTTGGGTGACAGCGGCTTTTCCAGGCGGTCCGGGCAGCAGCAGGAAGGACACACCCACCCTCAGGGCCCCCGAGTGCTGCACTCTGCATCCTCTTCCCTCCCCTCTTTCCATTCTGATGCTTCCCAAGTCTTAAAGAAGCTGCACCACAGGGCGCTCTGCACCAGGACTGAGGGTTGAGCCCCACCCCGAACACGAAGCTCTGGAAGTTCGGTGGGACCCACAAGTGTGTAGTATGTCCTGGGGCCACACAGGCATCAACCCGTACCCTCTTCTCTACCGTGTCCCCACGTTAGCTGATCCGAAAGCACATTATTTCTCTGCTTATAAAGCACATTCTCAGAACGCTTTAACAGTTTCCAGCATTCATCTTAGATCAGCAAATCTAAGTCTCTCTCCTTCAGGTTTCACGATCTAAACTGAGCTCACTCTCAATCTAAATCCTGGATCCGCCAGACAGTCTGCCGTGAAAGCGCATCTCAGGATGGGCCATCATCACTCCCTGCGGTCGCTCTGGTTTGAGCCTCCAGTCTGTCTTGCCCAGACCACGGGAGCTCCTGACAGGCTCTTACCACCACCTCCAGACCCTCCCCATGGCCTCCACGGTCCTACACAACACAGGCCCTGCCAGCTTCTCTGACCTCAACTCCTGCCCCTCTCCCCCAGGGTGGCTGTGGCTGCCTCCGCCTCTACAGCCCACCCTGCCGGCCAGGCCACTGCTGTCCTGCCTGGACGACCCCCGGGCGCCGGGACGGCTCACTTCTCGCTGCCAGATCTACTTGGATGAGTGACCAGAGATGAGCTGCCCGCGCCACACCATTACTCACTCTCCCTCTCCTTGTCTGGCCATCCCCTGCTTTATTTTGCTTTTTAGCACTTCAGCCAGCCTCTCATGTGCTATGTGCCTGTCTCTCCCCCGAGCTCCGAGAGGAGGAGACACGGAGCACGTGCGGTGGTACCAGCTACATGATGCTCCGGGAGCTGGGGGCAATGACATTCCTCCCACGGGACGCCCGCCTCATTCATTTCCTCATTTTCCACACTTCAGTTCTATTATTCCCATTCCATGCAATCCCAGGTAAGAACCTACAGCAAGACAACATCCCCAAATGTAGTAACTACTCCCCCATTGATAAAACCTAGGTCTGCCAAACTGAAAATTAAAAAATAAACAAAAATGCACAGAGAAGACTTGGGACTTGGTGACACTGCTGGAATGTCCCTGGTGGCAGAACCTGTGGTTTATACACAGCACACTAACTGAGGATGTGGCCTCCCTCCTGCAGATGAGCAAACACCGCGCTCCTGCTGTCTCACCCCTGTCGGGTACTTGGTAATCCTCAATAAGCAGCTTATTACCAAAGACCCAAAGTAGGTAAAGTCACCAACTT